ATCAGAGGGCTTGGCATGTGATATTCTGGAGGTCAAAGGAGCTAGGATTAAAACCAAGAATCACCTGCCCAGCAAAACTGAGGCTAATCAGTGAGGGGGGAAAATTGACATTCAGTGATGTAGAGGAATTTAATGCGTTCTTGAGAATCCAGAGCTAAATGGAAAAATTGACTTTAAATACAAGACTCAAGAGAAGCATGAAAAGGTAAACAGGAAAGAGAAATCATAATAGACTTATTGAAGCTGAATTGTTTACATTCCTACATGGAAAGTTGATATTTGTAACTCATGAGACCTTTCTCATCATTAGGATAGTTGGAGGGAATATATGTAGACAGAGGGCACAGAGTGAGTTGAATATGAAGGGGTATCTAAAAAATAAAATTAAGGGATAAGAGAGGAATGTACTGGGAGAAGGAGAAAGGGAGAGTTAGAATGGGGTAGATTATGTACATGAAACAAGGAAAAGTTTTTACAGTATAAGGGAAGAGGGGGGAGGTGAGAGGGAATGAGTGAATCTTATTCTTGGATTTGTCTTAAGGAGGGAATAACATACACACTCAATTGGGTATGGAAATCTATCTTACCCTACAGGAAAGTAGGGGGGAAGGGAATGGAAAGGAGTAATAGAAGGGAGGGCAGATTGGTAGAGAGGGTAATCAGAAGCAGACCTTTTTGAGAGGAGGGAAGAGGTCAAAGGAGATAATAGAATAAATGGAACAACAGGATAGGATGGAGGGAATTATAGTTAGTCTTTCACAACATGACTATTGTGGAAGTGTTTTGCATAACTACACATGTGTAACATATCAAATTGCTTCCCTTCTCAATGAGGGTGGGTGGGGAGGGAGGAAGGGAGAGAATTTGGAACTCAAAGTTTTGAAATGAATGTTGGAAATTGTTTTTGCATGTAACTAGGAAATAAGATGTACAGGCAATGAGGTATAGAAATCTCTCCTACCCTACAGGAAAATAGAAGGGCAAGGGAATAAGTGGGTGGGTGGGGGGTGATAGAGGGCAGATTGGGGGTAGGGGTAATCAGATTACATACTGTCTTAGGGTAGGGGGAGGGGAGAAATGGGGAAAAAATTTGGAACTCAACATCTTGTGGAGATGAATGTTGACAACTAAAAATAAATAAGGGGTGGAGTGGAGAATGCAGAGAAGATGCAGGAACTACTTAGTGCAGTGCCTGGGATACTGTCAGTGCTTAATGAATGCTTGTTCACTCACCTGCATTAGCGAAGGCAATTTCCTAATCCAGAACTTTGCTAAAGCAGTGAAATCACAGGTCCAGTCCTTATCTCTGTCTCTATATACAAGATAAAATATGTTTAAAAATTTATTTTATTTTTAATTTACGGAATAAAATAGAATATTAATACAAAAACAAAAGAAATCTGGGCAGTAGGTATTCTTTATGCACTTGGTCTTTCTTTTGGTGATTAGAGATGTCTTCCAGTAGATTCTAATGTTCTACAATTTTTTGAACAGGAAGACACTTTGTTCTAAAACTATTTTCTACCAGATCTGATGTTTTTTTCCAAAATCATTTTACTAGGCCCAATGAGATACTATATTTTCTATATCTTTTGCTTGTTAAGAGTAAAAAAGTGTTCCCTTGTTAAATATCAGTTGTATAAGCCTGCTTGTTCCCTACTAATTTCATCATCAGGGGTATCTTTGTGCATAGATTCTTATGAAGATTTATTTATAGATGGAGAGATTGGGCATCTAGAGTGGTAGTTATTGTGGCCCTTTGGTCACCTTTTTAAATATTAATAAGGTTTGAGTTTTGGTGATTGATTTTGCCTTTAGTGTCTTTCCCTTCTTTATGTGCCTTGTATCTATCAGTGCCTTTACAAGTTTATAATATTCAGCCTGGATTTCCTTGGTATGTACTTAGTCCCTTGAGCAATTGCTATTGTCATTGTTCTCGTTAGGACCACTATTGCCTCCTCTGTATGCACATCTGAGACTGTGATATTAGCTTCCAAGTGTATTGGTTCCATGATAGAAAAAAATGGTTTGCTAAAAAAGCTTTTGCAAATCTTTTCCATTTTTCTTCAGTTTCTAGACTTTTCATTTTTGTCCTTAAATGCCTTTGGAATGTTTAGTTAGTTATCTTGCCAGACTTTTTCTAAATTGATTTTAGCTTTCACTGCTTCTCTCAGCTTAATGAGAGTATCATACTCATCCATCATCCTTCCTAATAAGATTTTACAAACAAATTTGTTTATTTATTTTTTGTGAGGCAGTGGGGTGAAGTGACTTGTCCAGAGTCACACAGCTACCAAAGTGTCTGAGGCCAGATTTGAACTCAGGTCTTCCTGAATCGAGGGCTGGTGCCATATCCACTGTGCCATCTAGCTGCCCCATGAATATATATATACACACACACATATATATACACATATGTATATATGTATATTTTTTTATTTTATTTTATTTTTTGGTTAGGTAACGGGATTAAGTGACTTGCCCAGAGTCACACAGCTAGTAAGTGTATGAGGCCAGATTTGAACTCAGGTCTTCCTGAATCTAGGGCCGGTGCTCTATTCACTGCGCCACCTAGCTGCCCCCATGAATTTATATTTTTGACCTATTACCTTCTCTCTGGGTTTGGCAAGTAAGTCAGATGTTTTACTGACTAGGGAATTTTCTTTGTTTTCCTTGGAACAATTTAGTTTATATCAGCTAAACTTACAGATAAAATTAATGTAGTTGATATCAATGTTGTTTCTGTTGTCCATTTATCACTTTTGATTTTCACTTGTTAAAATAATTGAGGGGCAAGTCATTTTTGATTTTGCACCTTTTTTATTATTATTGTCATTCGTTATTTTAATATTAGCTCAGTTTGTTGTTCTAATGTTTGCTCAAATGAGTTAATTGTCCGGCCATACTCAGATAGCTAACTCAGGGATTACTCCCACATCAATAATAAACCTTTTCCCGTCTGTTAAAATATAATCTATTTCATTCTTTATGGTGTTATTTGCTGCTTACCATATTAATTGCTGGAGTATTCATGATATAATTATGTGAGACTTCTGTGTTTTTGGCCTCCCCATTTCTTCCTGAACCATGCTTTGCCATGTATTTCTTCCCCACCCTCACCTTTCCCCACTCCACTTTGCATTTGAGTCTCCAAGTATTAGAGTATGTGTTGATTTGATTTGGAGGGTCTTAGCAAGTTTTTCATAGAATTTCTCTGCTGCCACATCCTCAGAAACTGGTTTTGCTATGTAAGCTGAAATTTATTTAATGGTTTTCTTTTTGTGGATACTTTTCTTTAATATTGCAATGTGTGATGACTACATGTCTCATGAAATAATATTTCTTGTTGCTTCTGGACACACAATGAAAGAAATCTAACCTGTTTTTGAATTTTTTTTTCAGTTCTAGTATGAACTTTTTATTAACATGGAAATAATGAGTTCCTATATGTGATATGATCATACTTTTCTGCTCAGAATTCTACAAGTACCTCTTTCTTGCCTATAGTCAAGTTCAAACTGCTTTGTCTTGGATTTAAGGCCCTTTAAATTGATGTCACCTACTTTTCTGCCCTTATTTCATTTTCTTTCCTTCCCTACATATGATTTGTGCTCCATTCAAACTGGATGGCAATATGGATAGAATGCTGGATTTGTAATCAGAAAGACCTGGCTTCAAATCCCATCACAATTATTAGCTATTCACCTCTATGTTCCTCAGTTTCCTCATCTATAAAATGAGGATAATAATGGCTGTATTACTTATGTCACAGGCTTGTTGTAAGGATCAAACCCCCAAGGTGTAGTTAAGTTTCTCTGTACACAGTTGGTGCTTAAAACTTTTTATTTAATTCAGTTGAGCTATTATTAACTATCACTTAACTGGTATTTATTTGCATATTTACATTCCAAATTGAGATATATTTTTTATGTAGGAGAGGATTGGTAATAATTTTTTACATCCTTGTTTCAACAGAGATTAGACAGAAACAGAATTTTTTCCTCTTACCTAACTGCTTAATGTAATTTAATAATAGTCTTAAAGGTGGCATCATGTAGGACTTCGTTTGTGGGATATAATAAAAATAGTCTTTTTATGGCTTACATGGAGCTCTTTATGGTTTATAAAGTGATTTATAACCATTCTTTCATTTAAATTCAGCAAACATTTATCAAGGTTTACTATGTGCAAGATGTGCTAGGTGCTGGAAATATAAGAAATGACCCAGTCCTTGCCCTGAAGGAGTTTACCTTCTGCTTGGTGAAGTAGGGCGTGACTACAGCCTGAACACAAATAGGTATATACAGCAACCCTTTGAGACAAATAGAGTGCAAGTGTTAGTCTTATTTAACATGGATATAGAGTCTCAGAGAAATTGTGACTCTCTTAAGATCACACAACTAAGGAGTGGTAAAGCCAGGACTCGCATTTCAGGTCTTGTAAATCCAGTGCTTTTTCGACCATACCTGCTTGATAAATCAGCTTCATTTAAAAGATTTGAGAATCCTAAAAGAAAGTAATAATTGTTTTCCTTTGTAACAGTTTAAAAAGAAAGATCAAAATGGATTAGGTAAGCCATGTCTAGGGATAAAATGTTTACAGGTATAAATTAGTCCATGTAACATATACATACATACATACATATATAGATATAGATATAGATATAGATATATAGATATATGTTTATATGTGTGTTTACTATAGTAATCATAGATGTGGTGGAGCTAATGTGGTTGTTTGTGTTTGAGCACTTTTTTATAGATGTTCTGTTATACCAAGATATATATTTAGTGTTTCAGTCCCATGAAACTGTATGCATAGTTCTTTTATTAAGTATCTTCAACTTTGTGTATAAATCTTTCATCAAGTATCTTCATCCAGTAAACAAATAATTTTCCCTAGGAAGATAAATCATTTTCCTGAAAGAAGCTTTTCTCTTTCATAGGCAGCTTATTAATTCATTAATAATGGCCTTAATTTAAAATTTGTTTTCTTTTTAGTCAGGCCTTGAAGTGAGCATCGACAAATCTGTGGCTGAAGGGGATATTGAAAAGGCAGAAGAACTCAGTAATAGGTTAGCTGCTCGAGAGGTAATTAAAATTTTATGTTTATTGTTAAAGTATCTTATAAGAAAATATAGTTAACATTTTTAGTACTGTCATTAGTCTATAGTTATTTATGTTATTTTGAAATACAGAATCATGTTTCTACAGTTATGTTTTTAGATCAATTTTGGCTAAATCTTATTTTAGAAATGATTCTTTCCTCATCTCATAAGCAAGTAGATCTTTTTTCCCTGCATGACCAAAAGGTTAGCCTTCCTTTCCCATTTGCTTCTTTAACCCCATTTAACTTTCATTGTAGGGGGAAAAGCAGCTTGCTCTCTTTCTAAAGATATGATAGGCAAGGTCACAAATAGGGGTTGCTTACTTATCACTAGTAAAGACCACATGTGATCTGGCAGCATTCTGTATAACTCCTTTTCATTTTGCTAGTGTTTAAAAAATATACTTGCAAGCTAGCTAAATTTTTGTGTTTTATTTGTAGTATACTAAATGACTGGCTTACCCGTTTGCCACTCTCTTAGTCTATGTTTTGTTTTTGTTTTTTAATTTTTTTTCTTAGACTATGTTTACGCGATGTCCAGTGACTTGGTAAATTTAGTGAAAAAATATATATAGTCAAGCCATTGTTTGGCTTCCTACAAACTAGCATAGTGATTCCCTTATGGAAAATCTTATACTCTACCTAACTGTTCATTCTCTAAATGGAAATCTGGTGAACGAAACTTTATTTAATAAATATCACAGTATCCTGTGCTTTGAAACCAACATTGACTGCTAGAGCTTTATTTTACTTTTGGTTTTGGAGCAGCTGCCTTGATTGGTGTTGGGCTCAGCAGAAATAGAGACTTGAAGGTAGTCTTAAAGATTGAGTTCTCTTTTCTCCTGTCCTTCATTGAATCACTGTACTCTAAAGAAAGCCATTGCAGGTTAATTTAGGGGTATGAACAGAGACATGGGGAGTATTGTAGTCATTTTAGGCAACTTGTTTTGGAGAAAGGGGCAGTATTTTTGGTGTATTATCTCTTCAGATTTATTAACAACATTTAAAAAAAATATTTATTTTTGTCCCTAAACTAGTCATGCTACTAAGATATGTAACTAGCTGGTTGCTGTGTTTTATCTTTTGATTTCACTGGGTGCTGCATGTTATTTGGATATAGTGATAATTTTATTAATCTCTTTTTAACCATTTTTATATTCTCAAAAACAAAATAATTCATTGGTTTATTTTTTCCTTTTTTTTCTTGCATTGGCTTATTCTTTGGGAAAATTATTTTAAATACCATCTTGTACATTGTACATATCTATTAGACTTCCAGTAAATTTTAGCTAAAAGGAGAGATAGTGTCATAGTAGATAGAGGGCTATCCATGAACTCAGGAAGACCCAGGTTCAGATTCTGCTCTGATGGATACTTAGCTGTGTGACAGCTGACAAGTCACTTAACCTCTTAGCATCCAGGCAACTGCATAAATTATTGAATTAGTGGAGGAATTTCCTATGCCAGTGAAACCATAGATCTAGAAAAAAAAATTAGCTATTGATTTTATAGTTTGTGTAGCAATTTGAGAAACTACAAGGAACCCTCATTTTAAAAATTGGTTGTATTCTAAAGGTTTATTTATAGTTCAACTGTTAGGGATTTAGAATATAGTTTTTAATGGGGGAAAAAACTGTAAATGTTAGAGTAAGGTATTCTGGCTAACTCTCAAAAGCTTGTGTATGATTCCTGAACTCCACTCCAAGGCAGGGAGGCAGGGAGGCTTCTGCAACTTGGTACCTTAGAACCAGTTGCAAGGACTCTGCTTCTACATCAGTAAGGAAGGGCTTGGGCCGAAGTGTTCAGCAGCAGGAGAGAGTTTCAGCATCCTTTCTTATATCATTTGTAAGCTAAATACCCACTAATTGGGGACTGCTTATACTTCCCATAACTTATCTCATTTGGATCAAGATTACAAGGGATCAACAGGAAGGCAAGTTTGGTTTGTAGAGTATATGAATGGAAAGTAATGTGGAATCCAGCTGGAAAAGTAGTCTGGAGTCCCATTGCGAAGGACTTTAAATGCCAGACAGAAGAGGTTGTATTTTTATCCATTGATAGTAGAAAACCACTGGAGCTTTTGGAGCAGAGGAATGACTTGGATTAACTTGTGCTTTAGAAATATTAAATTGTAGCATTCTGAAGGATGAATCAGAAAGGAGAAAGAGTGGAGTCACAGAAACCAGTTAGGCACATGCAATAGTTTAGGCAACTAGAACTGCAAGGTTGGTGGCCATAAGAGTTGAGAGAATGGGCCAGGTCTGAGAAATGTGGAGGAATAATTACAAAGACTTGGCATCTAATAGGAAATAGTAAGATTGAAGAGTTGATAAAGACTCTTAGATTGCAAACTAGGTGACTAGAAGAATGGTTGAATCATCAACTTAAATAGGTAAGTTAGGAAGATAGATGGTTTTATGGGAAAGGGTAATGACTTGTATTTTCAGAATGTTGAGTTTGAGATTGCATTGGGACATCCAGTTGGAAATAACCAGTTATATATGCAGGTTTGAAAAGACTGTGGAGGACTGAATATGTAAATTTGAGAGTAATCTGCATAAAGATGGTATTCGGGGCCTGAGGAGATCCTTTAGAGGGGAAAAAAGAGTGTAGGATAGAGGCCTGGGGATGCATTCAAATGTGAGGACAGAAACATAGGTGATGATCCTGGAAAGGAGATTGAGAAGAATGAGTCAGACAAGATGAGACCCTCGACAGAATGGTCATGAAAAACTAGGAAGGAAAGGGTGTCCAGTAGGAGCATGATGGTCAATAGCGTCATATGCTGCATAGAGGTCAAGAAGGATGCACACTGGAAAAAAGTTTATTAGATTTGGCATGAAGAGACTATTGAAGACCTTAAGGAAATCAGTTTAAGTGGTGGAGTTGGAAACCAGATGGCATGGGGTTGAAAAGTGAGTTGAAGATGAGAATGTGGAGTCATTGAGTGTAAGCAGCACTTTGTTGGAGTTCAGCTATGAAAGGGATCAAATAAAGAAAATAATCACTTCAAGGTGATGGTGAGGTTAAGTAAGGGTTTTTTAAAGGATATGAGATGCTGACATGTTTGTAGGAGCAACAAGGAATAAGCCAGTTGACAAAGAAAGGTTGAAAATTAGGGGAGGAGATAAGGGATGGTGGAAAAGATGAGCTCCTAGAGGAAACAGGAGGGAATGGGATCAGGGTCACGTGTAGAATGGTTGATATTGGCAAGGAGAAGTGCCATCTCATCCTCTCAGATGAGAACAAAGGAGAAGATTGAGAGATGATAAGGCCAGGTTTTCTCAACATGTTAGTTAGTTTTACTGAAGTTTTTCCCCCTCTTTTTTATTCTTTATTATATGGAATGGCTTTGGCAGGGAGGGGGAGCTTGATACCTTGGGAAATGGGAAATACCGTGGGATATAAAAGCAAAAGATGCCATTATTTTTTTAAGAAGGTTGTGGCTGAGGTGTGGATTTTGGTATGGGAGGGAACTTGAGACAGATGGCCTAAATATTTCAGTAAAAGTTGAAGGCAAGGTTCTCTCCTGAGGGGAAAGAGGGTGAGATAGGGAGGGGGTCTATGGGGAAGGTGACTTTTGAGAGAAGTTTTTGAACAGCTGCTTTGGGTATTATTGAGGTCTGTCAGGGAAATGTAAAAGACTAAGGGTAGTGAGGGTCCAGTTGAGACTAGATAACATAAATTTATCGTAGGGCCCATTTAGTAGTTGTGTGACTTTCTGCAGAGGTATTATGCAACTTGGGACAGAGAAGATGGATGGAATGCATTGAGGGATCCGAAGGTAGAGGCTAGTGACTCTTAACTAAAGGGATAAGATTTTGAAGGGAGAGAGAAGCCAGAGCAGAAAGGGATGAAATGAGAGATTACAGTGAGGTTGGGAGTTTAGGTTTAGTAGAGATGATATTCAAAGAGAGAAAAAACAGGTGGTTATGGTAGATAAAAGACTTAGATATAAAAATGAAACCTGTTCTCATGGGTGGTAATGAAAGCAATTATAAAAGCAATGTATATGACCATCCCTGTGTATCAGTGAGGTGGAATGAAAGTTCAGATTGTTGGAGTTGAATAGTTTGATTAAGTAAATGCATTTTGGGGGCCATAAAATGTAAATTGAAGTCCCCGAGTATAAGGACAAGCATTGGAATGGAGGAAGAATATGTTAGGCTTTGAGGGAACTACAAATATAAATAATACGTGGTCCCTGTCTTTAATGGTGGGTAGGTGGCACAGCAGATAGAGTACTGATCCTGGAGTTAGGAAGACGTTTTCAAATGTAGCCTCAGACATTTAGTAACTGTGAGACCCTGGGCAAGTCACTTAACTGCTGTCTCAGTTTCCTCAACTGTAAAATAAAGATAACAACAACTACCTTGAAGAGCTATTCTGAGGATCCCTTGAGATAATATTTATAAAGCGCTTAGCATAGTACTTGGCACAAAATAGAAATGCAATAAATAAATACTTATTCCCTTCCCAATTCAATAATACAGAAATCAATGTTAGATCTACCTTAGGTTCTTTATTTTGCTTTAGGCAAATTTACATGATGGAAAATTAGTAATGCTGAAATATTTTAAAGATTGTGAATGAAACAGTTTTTGGCGTTAAATCTGGAATAATTTGGTTACATATTTTAAGAGAGGATGTCCCAAAAGCCTTAGTGCAGTTTTAAGCTATACATCCTATATATGTCACATTTGTAAGGGAACTTAGAAATATTCTACCCCAGCCTGTATCTGAACAAGAATTCTCTCTTCCACATCCTTGACAGTTTTGGTCACACAGCTTCTGCTTGCAACACTGTAATGAAGGATAGCCCACTAGCTCCCAAGGCATTTCATTCCAATTTGGGGCAGTTTTAATTATTTATAAGCTTTTTTTACATCAGGTCTAAAGATCTGCCTCTCTGTAGCTTGCACCCGACGTTCCACTTACCAGCTTCTTGTTTTGGCTGCTACTCTTTCATTTCCTTTTCCATTAG